TCTTGCAGGAAAGTATCAAGCGAGTCAAGGATGGACCTCCTTCCCTCACCACCATCTGCTTCTATGCCTTCTATAACACAGAGCAGCTGCTGAATACTGCAGAGATCTCCTCTGATAGCAAACTTCTGGCTGCTGGATTTGACAATTCCTGCATAAAGCTCTGGAGCTTGCGGTCCAAAAAGCTGAAATCAGAGCCCCACCTTGTGGACACATCTCGTATCCGTCTAGCCTGTGACACTTTGGAGGAGGAGGTAGGGGTGCCACTTACCCTTTCTTGTAGCTCTTTCCTGTTAGAGTGCTCTTCTTAAACCTGACCTATTTTCACCAAACAGTACTCGGTAGTCCCCTCCTAGGCAACCAGAGCTGGACTCATGCCAGATGACTTAGCCATTGATCTTGCTCATGCCTGAAAAATGTACATTAAAGCCCTTCTCCCAACACTCACCATTATATGAGTAGGCAGTGTTTACCACTGTCTGAAAAGCGTTGAGCCTAACAGATCGTCAGCTGAAATTGACTTTGGGGTCGCGTTACTTGTTTGTTGTTCTTTGCACTCAGATGTGCAGGTTCCAATAGGAACAGGATTGCTAGTTAAGGGTCTACATTTAAACAGTAGTGAATATTGTCTTCCCCTGCAGAAATCTAGGCTGTTTTACAGCTTGCCCAACATAATATACACTGGTGATGCCAGCACCTGTCCTAGCTCTGTGTGCCAAGAGTGGTCTCAGCCCCACTTTGAAAGGGGACATGTGTTGTAGAACTGTGATGTCTCCTCCGTCCGTACAGCAGCCTGCTGTCAGGTGGAGTGGCTAGTCTAGGGTGGCCATGAAATTGCAAACACAGTGGCCTGTGTTTCAATCTTTAGAGTCACTACTGTGTAAAAACTTGGGCTGAGAGAGACAGCCTCCATGATCAGCTTCTCTTGAACACCCAAAAGCTTTTGCATTTTCTAGCCTGAAGTGTATGTAGTAGCCATTTTGAGTAATTACAGATACCAGTGTTTAACTTCCTCAAGTTTCATGCAAATGGGAAGTAGTCGTTTGCTTTTCCTTAGTAGTTTTTTAGTGGAAGAAGCAATGCCTACTAAAAAGGTCTTCTTTCCCTGTGCAGGAACCAGCAAAGCTGAGTGCTTAAGAATCCCGATTGTCTTCTAGTTTAAAACCCCTTGTATTGGAAAATCACAACCATAGTATTCAGGAGCTTCCCTCTGAGGGAGTGGAGGGAAAATGGATTTATACATAGGCTGCAGCCTTGTGGGCAAGGGCTGTGGAAGCACACTTATCTCCAAGTGTCTTCTATTTTCATGGGGGGAAATATTTCCAAGGGTGATATGAGTCACTTGGCTCTGTTTTAAGCCTCCCCCCTCCTTACTCTCTCGCTCTCTATGGAGACTGGGCTATCCTCAAACTCAGAAATGTGTCTGCCTCCTAAATGCTGGAATCAAAGCTGTACACCACCATGCCTTGCTGTCATTCTCAGTCTATGGTTTGTTACTTTAGGAGACGTGTTTGAGGCTCTCCACCTTCCTGTTCTTTCTTTTCCTTTGTTTTTTTGCCCCCTACCCCCAGTCTCTAATATCAAAATCTTGATGGTCGTCCTAAACACTGGCATTGCATAATAGGTTACCATGTCCAGCTTTCATGTATCAGTGTTCACAGTCTCTTAGAGGCTGTGTACTCTGCTTTACAGTTCCTATGCAGTTAGGTTTTATTTTGGCTCAAGTCCTTCAGATTCCTCCAAAGCAGGCTCTCGTTTTGTCTCAACTGATCTTGATCTCAGGATCTGCCTGCCTTACTTTCTCGGTACTGTGATTAGATGTATACTGCCGGGCATGTCTAGGTTTCATTACATGGAATAGAAACAGCGAATAACTTGACTTGCAAAGTAGTAAGAACTGACGGCTAAAGTGAGCTCCATTAGGGAGAATCTAGGAACTTAATATCAATTCAGAAGTCAGTTTTTTCGAAAGATACCCATCAGAATTAATAGGGGATGTTCCATGGGCTTGCTTTTAAGTCAGATCCTCATTCAAAAATTAAGACTCACAAAAAGTAATTTCTTCAATCTGGTGTGACCTGTGGTTGGGCATTGTCAGCTGGAGTGACCATGAAGGGCAGACATGCCCTCTATGACAGATACTGCTTCCTAGGCAGGCCCTTTTCCTCTCTCAGGCTTATATTCATTGTGAAACCACTAAATATTTTCTTTTTTTTTATTTTTTTATTTTTTGGTTTTTCGAGACAGGGTTTCTCTGTGGCTTTGGAGCCTGTCCTGGAACTAGCTCTGTAGACCAGGCTGGTCTCGAACTCACAGAGATCCGCCTGCCTCTGCCTCCCGAGTGCTGGGATTAAAGGCGTGCGCCACCATCGCCTGGCCACTAAATATTTTCTTGTGTGTTTTACCACCCTACCCACCATGTTCCAGGAGAATGAGGAAGACAATACAGGCACAGAGATGAAGATCCTGCGTGGACACTGTGGCCCAGTATATAGCACACGGTTCCTCGCAGACAACTCGGGGCTGCTCTCTTGTTCTGAAGATATGTCCATCAGGTACTGGGACCTGGGGAGCTTCACCAACACTGTGCTCTATCAGGGACATGCCTACCCGGTGTGGGACGTGGACATCAGCCCCTACAGCCTGTATTTTGCCAGTGGGTCCCATGACCGTACCGCCAGGCTCTGGTCCTTTGATCGGACGTACCCGCTGAGGATATATGCAGGACACCTGGCTGAAGTGGACTGTGTCAAATTCCACCCCAACTCAAACTACTTGGCTACAGGTCCACTGACAAAACTGTCCGGCTGTGGAGTGCCCAACAGGGCAACTCAGTGCGGCTCTTCACAGGGCACCGAGGTCCCGTGCTCGCCCTTTCCTTCTCTCCCAACGGTAAGTACTTGGCGTCCGCTGGTGAGGACCAGCGGTTAAAGCTGTGGGACTTGGCCTCTGGGACACTTTTTAAAGAACTGAGAGGCCACACAGACAGTATCACCAGCCTGGCCTTTAGCCCAGACAGTGGTCTGGTTGCCTCTGCCTCCATGGACAACTCTGTGCGTGTCTGGGACATCAGAAGCACATCCTGCAACACACCTGCTGATGGCTCTTCGGGTGAGCTTGTGGGCGTGTACACGGGAGAGATGAGCAACGTCCTGAGTGTACAGTTCATGGCCTGCAACCTCCTCCTGGTGACTGGAATCACACAAGAGAATCAAGAACATTAAGTTTTTATT